GGCCAGTCCGACCACCTCTCCCTCCTGCTCTTCCCAGCCTACACCCCCCTCAAACACAGTGCCAGGCCCACCACAAAAACTGTTAAAAGCTGGCCTGAAAATGCTCTCTCCAAACAGCAGGACTGCTTCACAAAATCAGATTAGAATCAGAACACCAGGACCTAGAAACTTTCACAGGATCAGTACTGGACTATATCAAGTTCTGTATTGGAACTGTGACTGTGGACAAAAGCATTTGGGTTTTCCCAAATCAAAAACCCTGCATACTTTCACCAGAATCTTGAACCTCTCACTGATCAGGCAGCCATCCCATCCTAGTCACTCTTGGCCTCTCCCCTCTCACATGTGCCTGGATAAAGGACTTTCTTACAAACGGACTCGGCCCTCATCTCTCCTCCACTCACACACTGAGCACTGGGTCCCCACAGGGCTGTGTGCTGAGCCCCCTCCAGTATTCTCTCTACACCCAAAAATAACCTGGAACTGAACACTAAGAAAACCAAAGAGGTCATTGTCGACTTCAGGAGGCACAGCACGGACTCAACCCCCCTATACATCCTCATCTCCGCTGACATCTCCTGGACAGACAACATCTCAGCAGTAGTCAAGAAGTAGTCAAGAAGGCCAAACAGTGGCTGCACTTCCTGAGGGTCCTCAGGAAGTACAAGCTGGACTCCAACTTGCTGCTGACCTTCTACCGCTCGTCCATTGAGAGCCTGCTAACATACTGAATCACAGTATGGTATGGCAGCTGCACTAAGGCAGACAGAGCGAGGCTTCAGAGTGTAGTCGAGGCAGCACAGAAGATCATTGGCTGCCCTCTTCCCCTCCCTGATGGACATTTATTTCTCCTGCTGCCTCAGCAGAGCAGCACACATCATCAAAAACCGTTCCCAGCCTGGTTTTAGCCTCAGCACAAAGACCCACAGCCTCAAGAACAGATTCTTCCCAAAGGCCATAACCACCCTTAACTCATACATGCGCCAATAACACAGTCCCACCCCCAATTTTTCCATTTACCTCTATAAACCACGACCGTGCAATACCAAATTCTATGTGCAATAACCCGAATCGTATATACATAAAACTATTTATTTACATATTTACTTTTTTACTCTGGATTGTATATTTGTACATTTTATATACTTTTTCTGTTAATACTGTTCAGATGTATATAGTGCTGCAGAACTGTGCACCCCCCAGCCCACCCACACATGTTTGCACTGAGTTGGAGATGCTCTGTATCTCACTGTACAACTGTATAGTGATATTTGACACTTTTTTAAATAATTCATTTCACACATTAGATAACTACTAATAATGGATCATCCCGCCAGTGGAGTTACCTGTAACTGTTTCACCAATCAGATATAGCCATCCAGTCACATGACCAGTGTGGAGATACAGAAATTATTTTACTGCTACAATATAACCCACATTATTAACATTGCATTAATAATATACCCTACAGCATTGATATTGCATTAAAGATGTTTATTAAAGCTACTGCCACCATATTAACCTTTTTATTACAGGTGCAGCCATAATCATTTTATACACATTGCATGTTTGTGCTCATTCAGAGTTGATGCTCAGTCTATTAAAGAAGGTTTTAAGCTTCGTGAAGCGCTATGTCTTCACATACTGTGTAGGTGACTTGGAGCACAGAAGGATTGCGTACATGCTTACGACACACATAATCCAGAAACCTGTCAGGCCAAAGGCCTGAAATTCATTTAGCTTCTAACCGCATTTTAGTTTGCTTAGTAACAGATGACAGAAGACAAGTCAAGAAAAGGACAAGCTCTCAGGGACCATCTAGGCTTGCAACTCATTGCCGTGTATGGAAGGTGTTATAGAAAGAGGAACTTCTGTGTCTGTTTTTAGCCATCTAAGATGTACCTTTTAATCTAATCGATGTATTTGATCTGTAGTCGACGTGAGAAGGGGCATTAACCCTGATGTTATAAAATCATTTTCAAGTGTATTCTTAGCAGGAGTCGTGTGCTGATGTGATGCTGCATACTTCTTCTCCTGCGTGTGTTTTAATAAACTCATTGTTTGATTGCACTCTTCTGGGCTTCTGTTGGTTTGTTTCATTGCTCAACATTTTTTGGATTCGGGACACCAGTTACAAACTGTGACGGGCAGGGCGGACCAAGCCTTTCAAACTAGCGGACACACGGAAAGAAGAAACACAGAAGACAACTGCCCCAAAAACTCTGTAACATAAAAATGAAACTAGATCTTATTGATTTACTGCAAAAGGACTCTAGAAGTAAAAGTTGCACGGCTTTTGTCTTGCAATCTAATCATTCAAATTAATGGGTAGTTTTGACAGTTTTTTGCTGCATTTTGACAGGTTTATGACTTATAGTTTGTAAACAAAAAAAAGGGGTCCAGATGGAGATTATTATTAGTTATGGATTACTTTGACAACACAAATTGTCCAAAGTTTTAGAAATTCCTAATTAGTAAGATTTGTGGTTAATTTTTTGCACTATAACTTATTTTCATAAAAGCCATAAAAATGTCAAGTAGGATTTATTACTTTTAACTGTAAGACTGGCACAACAGCCATTGTTTCTGATCCTACGAGCTGACCCTGACTATAAATCTGTCAAAGTAATGAAGACGGCCTATAAGGTCTGGGAATAATGCCCAGAAAGTTATGTTATGTTATTGGTTGTCATTTGCTTTGTGTTCTTTTCCTTCTCTGTTGTTGTAAAGTTTTGTTTTATTGTTTATATGACTGTTCAACAAACTCTGTTCTTTTCCAGAGGATCTTTTGGAGCGATTTGATTTTTAATTGGATCTTTAAAAAAATGAATCCACAAGTGACAGGTTTGATAAAGTTTATATACAAGATCCAACAGTTTCTCTCCAGCTAGCTTAAGTGTCTGGTTTTTCAAATACATACTAAGCCTTTAAACAACATATGTTTTTCCAGATCGTCTTTCCTGTGCATCTCTGTGCATTCTTGTGTGTCATAAAATGCAAGTTGCAGAGTCAAATGGAGACTGGAATCTTTATTGAGGCAATGCATCCAAGAGAGGCATCATTAATCTCTGCAGGGAAGGGCAACAGGAGAAGATGCAAACTGAAACTTTAAATAGATACAGGAGGTATTTATGAAGAGTAGAAAGGCTGGGATTAAAGAGCACACCTTAAACTATGTGTGATGATAACAAAAGAAGCAAAGCAAAGGACAAGGCACCAGATACAGAGGACTAACAAAATAATACAGGAAGTAAGTGAATGGAGAATCTACAGTCGTTGCTCTGAACACTGAAAAGTCAACTCTGCTAGGTTTTACAATGGGTGATTTGCACTACCGTAACTCTTCGACCAGTTGGGACTTAGGAGACATTTCAAATGGTTAGTGAAAGAGAAGACGAGGTTTACGAAACATTACATGTGCATCATTAGAATGCACGAGCCATGACGGTTCAATCACAGGTAAGAATTGATGACGCATGAAGCAGAGATGCGGGTGTGGAGAAGTGGCAATGCCTAAAAACACCTGGAACTTTGTAATATAAAAGGGACAATATATTAAAAAAACAGAGTGGTCTTAGGCTCAAAAAATGTTTTTGTACATATTTAGTATAGTTCATATTTAAAGCTGATGTTGTGTTACATTTGTTCATGTTGAATATCAGTTTCCACTTAACTATAAATCTGAAAAAACTGAGTCTATTTTGTGTTTTTTCCCACTTTAAACTGTTCCATTGTCATAACAATACAATAATGTAAAATGACTGTCAGATATTGAAAGCGGAGGTTATTCTGAAAAGTGCAAAAGCATTCGCTTATAGTATGATTTCTGACCCTTTTACAGCCAAAATTACCAAATAAGTCCAGGCTGCCTGTATGTATATTAATGTATACATAGCAAGAAAAGGAAGCAGTTTACTATCAATTATTTACTATCTATTATAAAACACTACTCTTAAGCAGTGGTGTTTCAAAGACATCATTATGTTCTGACTTTATTGAGTTGCATTTTGGTAAAACCTATATGGATTTGGTAAAGTGATCAGAATAGGATTCCCTTAACTGGCAGTAATGTGTTTGAAAGTTCTACTGTGTGAAAAAAGATCTTGACTTTCTTTATTTATAACTTTATTATTTAAGTTTATTTCTGTTCGTACTTTTAACTGTTGAAAATTATTCTGATAATTTAATCACCAAAACCAATCTCTGTGTGATGTGTGTGTGTGTGTGTGTGTGTGTGTGTGTGTGTGTGTGTGTGTGTGTGTGTGTGTGTGTGTGTGTGTGTGTGTGTTTGCATTATGCACTCGCTCCAGGGCACCGAAACACAGGGTAATGAATATCTTGGACTAATGCCCCCATATCCTCTGGCTTTTCAGCCCAAAAAAGAAAGACATGTAGCCATGTGTTGTTGCTATGGCCCCTTCTGCAGATAGAACAAAAGACAATACTTGATCCTGGCACGATGGCATTTCCCTTTGCCACCAGTTGACACTGATACTTGTGTCTCATGAACTAGCAAACATGTCTAGTCTGGTAGGGTCGTGCATGGGTTGAGGGGGTGGGGGTTTTAAATATCTACTACTGTAATATTAGTAACAGAAAGGGGAAAAAATGTGATTCTTGTGATTTGAAAAATGAATGTGCTCCAGTGTTACAGTGCAGATTGTGGATGTTAGGGAAAATGTTGCAAATAAATTTGGTAACAATTGAAAATGGTATTTTCTAAAAACAATGTGCAGTCAAATAAACATTTTTGGAGTATTGTTGGAATTTATTTGTCTCAGTATGATCCACATGTATGATAAAAAAAAGGGGGGGGGGGGGGGAATTATAATTGAGAATTTGGCTGTTGTCAGTATACCCTTCCATTGTATCTTTTTTTTTTACTAATCTTTAACTTTTTAAATCATAACTTTATTTAATAGAATGAATAGTGGTTGTCTTTATGTTTTTAAACTCAAGCTTGTAGTTTTTCAGTAAAATATGTAAAATTACACACTCACAGCAGTCGAGAGTCTTGAAGCCAGAGTCATTTCCAAGTTTCCCTTCATGCCTAAAACAGCTGGGACCAGAATTAAGATCTCTGTGATTTCTTGGAACACCTCCCAGCTCTGCCCAAAAAACATATAAATAAAATACATATTGCAAAATATTTATGTAAAGAAAACAATTTTAAACATTGCAGTGTTCTGTTCCTGACCTGAGCAATATCGAGCAGTATCCCGGCAGAAACTGTTCCAAGCCCAGCCAACAGAAATGGCACCAGAATCTGCACAACCATGGAACAGATGGACTCTTCGAGTGCACCTGAGACATTTGCATCTTTTGGTTGAGGGGATCTGGTGAGCCGTGACCTGCCATAAAGCTGATTTGGGAGCAAAAAATCTGTCTCGGTGTACTCCTCTGGCTCATAATAGATATTTTCATTAGAAGTAAAATGCTGTGAGTTTCCAGAGAACTGGGATAAAGATGTGTTGGATCTGTTTTGTTGGCTTGGGGAAACAGAATCACTGTGGGTCAGTTTTGTATCCTGTGACTCTTGGACAACCATGGTGCAAACTTTGGTTCAGCGATATGTTGCTCCAGCTGCTCCTACGCCAATGATTAGAAAAAGTTGATCTAAATAGGAAATAGAAAAACTTGTGTCATTGCCAAGTGTGCAACTTTCATATAGAGATAGAGAGAGGGTTTCTTGTACAAGCCTGTTTCAGAATCATCTGATTGCAAGGATTGCTTGAATTATCATTCTTCATGCCCGTTTCACATCAGTATCACTGAGGCTGCATTGTCTTGCAGAGACAGTGCTCTTTATTTGAAATTCCTTAGACATGACCAGGTACTAAACCACTGAGGTTGGCAGTTTATAAGCTGGGAAATGGACAAAATGTGTTACTTTTTAGCTACTTTTTATCACAAGCTAAAATAAAAAATTACAGACTATGTCAGAATCGAATTCGTCCTTTTTTTTGTTTTGTTTTTTTATTTTGTTATTCTTCTTTTCAGTTGGGAATGTTAATATAACAAAAATACAGTATCTTATAATCACAAGACATCCAACATATAATAACAAAGATATACTTTTATTAAGATAAGAGTTTAAGCAGGTTCTAATTAACAAACCCTTAAATGATCAAAAACATACAAATATCTAACAGTACTAATCCAAATATAAATAATTTTGTTCTTAGTTTTTACGGTTATCAATGCGGACTCTTGTATTGCTGAACCCACCAGATACACTTAAAAAAGTGTATCCGGTTTGAAGATTAACATCAAATTGGTTAAGGACAGAAAAAAGGACTCCGTTGAGAATTTTGCACTGCTTACTTTTTCCTGGTGTTTCGCCATCTCTCCAGTACCTCTGATAACAAACTCCCTTGATAATGAAACATTTCTTGTTTTAATCTAAGACACTCCAGTCTCTTTTTTTCCAAGTTAAAAAACAATGAAAATGTGCCTTACCCTTTTCTTACACCATAAGTGAACAACAGGAGGGCATCTCTTCTGGCACACTGCTGCTGAGCGTGACTCTTCCTTGTGGTTTCTGTTAATGTCTGAATGGTGTGTTCAATCTCCAGTGTGGCAATATTCTAACAACCCATCACCACACACACCTATCTGTCTGTCTATCCTGAGTGTCAACTCATCTAGTGTTCCTTCCTCAGAGACTCAGTTTCCCATGAGCATTAGCGGCCTTTCGGAGAATCATGAGATCCATCATGGGATCGTGTAGTACTACTTTTTAGCAGCGCTGTGTTTGGGGTTTTCGCTTATTCATTCTAGCACCATGGCGGTGGAAATCATCTCACCCGACTGGGAGTTTGACCGTTTTGACGATGGTTCACAAAGTAAGTGCTCAATTGAGCCCTGACATGCAAAGAAAGACTGTGGCAGGCTAAAGTTTACTACTTTAGCATCAACCGCTAGCTCAAGTTGCTAGCTCGATGCGTTGCAGCTGGGCTTCGTATTAGTGAAAGAAACTGCACACTGCTGTTTAATTCCCAAAATGTATGTTTAGTAAATGCCATCAAAATAAAAGTAAGTATTTACTACCCCCGGAATAATTAAAACTGAAGGAGTAAATTAGTGGAATTAATAGCTAGCTGTAGCTGGCGAACGTAAATCGACGCAGTTTGTCACGTACAGCTGATCGATCTGACAGCTGGTTTTGACTGTGTAGTTAACGCCGTACTCTTTCGCTTACTCACATTTAATTTACTTGTTTGTTTTTTTTCTTTAATGTTATGTTTAGGGCGAGAAAACTGCCCAGTGCTTTCCTGTGTTTATCTCCTTGTGACTTTCCTTCTCAGGCTCTCAAAATATTTATTTACGACAACCTGAACGAACGACCTATATGTGCCGTTACTCAACTACATTTATTGGAAAATGTAGTTTGGTAACACCTTGTAACCAGGCATAGTGTAGATTTACGCATTTTAGGTTAAATTTAGAATCTATTGGGCATCTGAATCATGCTTTAAGTTTTAAATGACAGTTACAAGTGTCTCTTTCTTTAATGAAAATCTAGTAGTGCAAGAGCAGCATTGTTGCTTATAAAATGTTGTAAACTTGTAAAGGAAGGGCAGAAAATCAACCCATATTTTTTTTCTGGTTAGTAAAAGTCAGTAACGTTGTCAAACCTTCCTCCCAACAGAGATACACACAGAGGTTCAACTGAAGAACTACAGGAAGTTTCTGGAGGAGTACACCTCTCAGCTGAAGGGTATTGAAGAGGCTCTGGATGAGTCCATTGGAGATGTATGGGACTTTACTCTGGACCCCATCGCCCTTAAGGTAAAACCCCCAAATATACTGGCTTGGTTGAAAAGACTGACATTGCTTTTACACAGTTATAACTTGCGTAATTTCCTTCCTTATACTTTATGCCCTTTCAGCTTCTTCCCTATGAGCAGTCATCCTTATTAGAATTAATTAAAACTGACAATAAGGTAAGTAAAGACAAACAAATTAGTCATTTTTCATTTTCATATCCACAGAGTTGTTCTTTTTTTAAAAAACAAAACAAAAACAAATGTCACTTTGGTTGTGTGCAGGTCCTGAACAAAGTTATCACAGTTTATGCTGCTCTCTGTAGTGAAGTTAAGAAGCTTAAATATGAGGTAAGTGTGGTCAAACAGCTCAGTTACTTTGTGCATGGCTTATGATTATGTCATGTTTATATCGGCATGTCTGCATACTCTTGACTAAGGTGGAAGTAAAGCTACTGTTACTTTCAGCAATTTTAGTAGCTCTTTTTTTTTTTTAACTTTGTTTTCTTTAAGATATTAATTTAGCCTCGTTTTGTTGCTTTTCAAGGCAGAAACCAAATTCTACAATGGCCTATTGTACTATGGAGAAGGAGGTAATCTGTCAACTTTTACTGTTTCATGTTGTTTTTGTTCTAGGTTTGCCCTCTGTGATACACAGTGCTTATTAAGATTAAAATAAGGCATGTGTGAATTTCTCTTACAGTGTCTGAAACCAGTGTTGTTGAGGGGGAGTCCCAGATTCAGATGGGCAGATTCATCTCATTCCTACAGGTGGGTAGTAACTGATTTCTGCCATAACCTTATTTACTGATGTCTGGAAGACAGAAATATTTATTTTCCTTTGTCCTTTCATAGGAGCTGTCCTGCTTTGTATCCAGATGTTATGAAGTGGTGGTCAGTATTGTGCATCAGCTGGCAGCACTCTACAACAGCAACAAGTATGAACCATGGATACATGACCATAATGTTACAGTCATTGCACTATTTTTGCAGGATTGCAGAGAGAGGTTGTGTGCACCTTATATTTAATGAAAGTCCTCAGCTACTCTGCAATGACAGTCTCATTGTATCCAACCTACCTCATATTAGATAAGTGGTTGTGAATGGCCTGACTTGGGTATTTGCTATAGCGAATGAAGCATGAGCTGGTTCCCAGGCTGTATTTTGCTCTGTCATGGTCAAACAGAATGTACTAAACTATCTTTCTTCTAAATTACAGGGGTGCAACAAAAATCATAGAATCCTCTGGTGTCCATTTCCAGGTAGGGTTCAAATTTTGTGAGACCTTTAGTATTTGCAGATGTTACTCAGTCATTTATACCATGTCTGCCCTGCTTTTCCTTTGCAGATAGTATACGAACACCTGGGAGAGTTGTTGGTGGTGCTGCTCACACTTGATGAGATTATGGAAAATCACAACACACTAAAAGACCACTGGAAGATGTATAAAAGGTAATTACCCAGTAAGCTATGATGGCATGTGACATACAGTGTAAAAGATGCAATGAAGCAGTTCCACATCTCTGGCCAGAAATCACCACATTCGGACAGGAAAGGGTATAGAATGCTATAAAAGCACATTTCTCTTGTGGTTTTTTTTGTTTGTTTTTATTTTAGTCTAAAAATAGGTAAACGAGTTAAGTTTCTGTAAAAACAAAAAACAGTTTGCATACATGATGCTGAGGAGCAGGCAGGACTCGCCAAACACAACAACCTCCATTCATGTATGTTGAGGTTTCTGTCCTTACCTTCACTCTAGAATGATCGCTGTTTTCCTCGTGTCACACAAGTGTCTCATTGCATAGTCATAGTTTATAAGCTACAGTTTAATGATCACTTGACCTGTTAAATAGTACACTGTAGACATGTGTTTTCATAAATATGAAGAGAATGTGACCTGTAATTATGAAAGTAAAGCAAAATATATCTGCCACAATACAGAACTGCATCCCAGTCTTTTGTTCACATAAGTACTGGGGTTTGATTTATCATTTGTAGGTTTTTCTTCCACACACTCACACAATCACACGTACATATATGTGCACTTACACTCAGTGGTAAATATATGCATCTGGTTTTGTTCCCTGCTTGGGTTGTGGAATCTATATATTCAGTTACAGACATGTAACAGACATGTAACTGAATATGGGGCAAATCTTATACTGGCCCCAAGATTTCTGGAGTTTGTTTTTTGCAAAGTGGCCTTCATATAGGCCAGCCCCTTAAGTGAAAACATATGTTAAAATCTACATACTTGTTGGAGTTAGCCGATGTTTTTCTTCCTTTTTCATGCGAGGAGTTCCCACGTATGTGTGGGAACACCTCGCACTAGATCTGAAAAGCATCTCTGTAGTCTTCCTCTTTTCCTCTGACCTGGTAACGCCATATTCAGCATTCTTTGTCCAGTGTAGTCATCTGCACGTCCAAACCGTCTCAGCCTTTTCACTTTGTCTTTACACTGCTCAACCTGAGCTGATATACTATACTTTTGATATACTCATTTCTAATCCTCCCCATTGTTAGAGTCAAATTGTTGAATGGCTGTAGCTCAGGTGGTAGAGCGGGTCACCTACTCACCGCAAGGTCGGTGGTTTGATCCCAGGCTCCTCCAGTCTACATGCCAAATATCCTTGGGCAAGATACTAACCCCATGTTTGCCTACTGGTGGTGGTCAGAGGGCCCGGTGGCGGCAGTGTCTGGCAGCCTCACCTCTGTCAGTGCTGCCCCAGGGCAGCTATGGCTACAGTGTAGCTTGCCATCACCAATGGGTGAATGACTGATTGTAGTGTAAAGCGCTTTGGGGTCCTTAGGAGCGCTTTACTTAGGGACTAAGTAAATTTGTTTAAGTAAATTTTATTTCTGTCACAGAAATAAAAGGCTGCAGAGGAAGCTGGTTCTTCGAAGTGTTCTGACACCGACGGCAGAAGGGCTGTTCTGAGATCCTTCCCTTGCTAGCATGTGAAAAACTGGTTGAGCTGTTCGTCTTGCTTCGTTAACAGGAATATGTTTCTGAAACAGCAGGGCCTGTGGAAGTGCAGACCCAACACCCATCCTGGTCACTCTCACTGAAAAACCCAAGCTCTACCTCTGTCTATGCCACCATCTCCAAACCATACATTATAGAAGGTCTCACGAGCATCTTGCAATCCTTCCTGTTCACTCTTGCTGTTTATCCCTTACACAGGTTACTGAAATCTGTGCACCATAACCCTGGGAAATTTTCCATTCCTGAAGACAAGCTGAAACCTTTTGAGAAGCTCTTGCTCAAGCTGGAGGGGCAACTGCTGGATGGCATGATACTCCAGGTGACTTTCCCTTAATTTATTATTATATTGGTGTTAAGTAGAGGTTTTTGGGAAGATAATATGATGAACATTATTCGTATGATCTGCAACAGGCCTGTGTCGAACAAAGATTTGATGATCCTGGGGAGGGAGTAGCAGTTTCCAAAAACAGTGCCTTTGCTGAGGAGTTTGCCTTCAACATTCGCACCATATTTGCAAGTGTTGAATCCAAAATTGGTCAGTTGTTTCTTCTTCCACAATAGACTAGTTTCCTTTAAGTTGTTCTTCAGAGCCGGACTTATTTCTGGTTGTGTTTCTTTTCTCTTTTTCAGGTGAACCTTCAGAAATTGACCAGAGAGACAAATATGCTGGTGTCTGTGGTCTCTTTGTGCTTCACTTTCACATTTTCAGGAGTGTTGACAAAAAGCTTTACAAGGCGCTGCTCGATGTCTGTAAAAAGGTGGATTTCTGTTCTTGGACTTTTTATTACTTGTTCAGTGGGAGTCCCTGCTCATTGTTTTCTTTGATCTGGCCTGAGAACTAAAAGTCTGCTCTTGTGTG